GGAGCAAAGTTGTCGCGTAGCCATGCGTCGTGCCGCAGGGCGGCCATCATTTGGAAGAGGCACAATGCTTGAGTGTTCAGCAGCAGGTGTTGGAGGTGCAGCTTGGTCAAGAACGCGGCTCGTTGGGCGGCTGCCTCAGGCGTCACAAGGGGCGCCTCGGGGCGAAAGACTCGGTCGTTGCGGGCAAGCCAGACGGTGTGGAGCACGCACGCGCGGAGGATCGGCCACATCATGGCCGCGGCGCGCCGACGGTAGCGTTGGGCTGTCACCAGCGGTGGACTCATGTTCCGTGGTAACGGCAGACACACTTTCTGGAACGGGACGTCTCGCGAAGTCGGTCGAACTCTTAGCGTCTGCCGTGCAAACGGCATCGCTAAAAAGCGTCGCATTCGTCTATACCTTAGTCAATACATGCAGATAAGTTCGACAAGATTACCATGGGCAAAATAAGCTCTTACCGGTAGTGTCGCCTGGACCCATCAAGCTCGGTATTATCAGCGTCACCCAAGGAATCATCGGAATGGACCTTGCACCTCCGTGCCTCTCTCCACAGGCCAAGTCAGCCCGAGATTTGCGCCAAACGTGCCGACCTACTACGACGTATGGCGTCAAGCTTACCAGTGCCTTGATCAAAAGGGCTCACTGCAAATTAGCTGGAGAGCCGACTATCGGTATGGGTTGAAGGCGAGAGAAGACAAAAAGTACGAGCTTCGCAGGTTATCCGAAGCAAGCAGTTTTGCATGTTGAATCCAAAAGACACGATGCTCCCTCTTTCAGAGTCCAAAGGGCAGCCACTCTGCATGTCGCTGCTTCTGTTTTTGCCTAGTATAGAGGGTCCACTGACGTGAGGATCACTGAACGGCTAGAGTACTTTTATGCGCATTCGCGTATGCATCATACTATTAATAGTAGAGCATAGCTCTTACCGTGCGCAATTTCGTTCTTTGAACGCCCACAGGCGACGAGTGATAAGCGAGACGAGCCCCCTCACGCTGCCACCGAAGCTGCCCGCCGAGAGAGTAAAGAAGAAGGAGATTCCAAGTCCTGTATGCATGCCCAGTCTTTGAAAACATGAAGAAACCAGGAAACGCGTTCATGTATACCACAATTAGACCCTGTACGATAGCAGGGTACTGTGGTGAAGTGCCTCATCGTCCAAGTCCACGCAGTCGCGAGTGTGATTGCGCGACTGCACTAGCTCGACATTCTACTGTCAGACCATTTTGGAGGACACGTGTAGCAATCGGTCGGACGTCGACGTCAGGGTTTGAGGATTGCGTCCTCGCGAGGACGCAAAAATGATTGTGATAGCACGAGCAGCGACGGTCACTCGAACGCAGGCTCGTTTTTCGGTCACGCGACAGTCACACCTCCACATGGCGACCAGCTGGGGTCATGTCGATTCCAGAGCCCCGTCTGGTATTACAACCAGGTGATCGCGGCCATTTCTGCACGCAAATTGCTGACGGAGTTGGCGAGTCGTCGAGGCGACGTTGGATGACGCGGCTTCCGCATCAAACGAGGTATCGGCTCGCAGCCACACTCACATCAGAGACGGGCGCCTCGATGCCCCGCCCCTTGTCGAATGTAGCGTCGGGTTGGACGCTATGTAGCTACATGTAGATGACGCAGGTGCCACGGCATTCAAAGCAAGGGAAAGCGCGCCGCTTGCAGTCCGGAGGGGCGCAGTCTTGATGACGCCGCCGATCGTGCCTCTCGCTTGATGACAATTGCACTCCATTCCATGAATTGTATCGCAGAGCCAAGTGTGCCAGCAACAAATTCATCGTTTCGAAGAGCGCGCGTGTAGAGACGGAAGCGTCGTTGAAGTGCACTCGACCTTGCGCAAAGGCGCCGGTCCGGCGCATTACAAGGGTGTGTCACGAGTACAGCGCGTCTTCGATTGGCTGAAATGCAATAGCTTTATCCATGTGGGCCAATCCATGGCGAGAAGGACGGCAGATGGCCAGTCGCGATGAGTCGCGATTGGTGTTTGCCAAACGAGCCGCGTCTCTCCCTTGCTCCTTGGCTCCTCTCGGCCATACGTTCCAGCTGCGGGGCGCTACGCAGTGTCCGTGATACGCCACATACGTAATATAAGACGTCGGAGGCTGTCGCATGGGGGCTCGGTGCCGTCCAGAAGTACCGTCTCTCAATGATCGACTTTGCCCTTTTCCTGTACACGTTCGATCGGCAACTGACTTGCTTCGGGTTAAAGGAAAGCCAAGCGTCACGGACATCTTGCATTTTTTTCTCTTGGCGTTTGTATGCCACAGGTACAGTTTGTCGCCATGTCCCAATCCATATCATACAAAGCAAAGCACCTGGGTGAACCGGGTATCTGCGCTTCCATCCGCACGCCAATGTCCCATGGTGGCCGACCAAGCATTGTTTCCGCAGTAGTATTCTTTAACCTTCCAGCTTGTGCGCAGGACCGTCAGGATGGACACGACTCCGAAAAGTGGCATCCTGCTCTTCTCCAACGACCAGTTGCCGGCGCGTCGGCGGTCGTTCAACTCGGCGCCGTCGTCGGACGGCCAGCCGCGCCGAAAACTGCCGCCGCCGCCCGAGCCTGTCGGTGTCCGGACCAACTTTACATCCGGCAAGCCAATGCATGAGTCGCTTCCCGTGACCAACTACGAATACCACGAGGACCCTATTCTCGAGGAAGACAAGGAAATCCCGATGCAAGGCGACTTTGACTCGCGGACGTCCAACACGTACGTCAACTCGATCTACGTGCTCATCGGTGCGGCGATCGGCGCCGGCGTTGGCCTCGCGCTCACGAACGCCGACCTCAACGAGGACGGCCGCAAGTGGATCGCGCTGCCCGGTGACCTCTTTGTGCGCGCGCTTCGCTGTCTTGTTGTGCCCATGGTGTTTGCGTCCATGGCGGTCGTCATTGCCGAAGTCGTCGTCTTGAAAAAGACGTCGATTCTGTCGTGGCGCACGGGCGCCATCTTCTTCCTCACGTCGTTCCTCGCTACGATCCAAGGTGTCGCGATCGCGCTCGTCTACCGCAGTACGTTCAGCTCGCGCACGGCGGCCGGCAAGTCACCGCTGCCGCAACCCGAGCTCGCGTTCAAGTGCCAGAACGGCTTGTACCTCAACATGTTTGACAACGGGTCGCTTGCGTGCTCGGAGCTCCAGCAGATCAACTCGACGCTGTTTACGACCGTCGATGTCAACAACATGCTGACGGTCAAGAGCACGATCGCGCAGCTCTCGCTCACGCAGCAGATCATTGCCATCATCAACCTCATGGTGCCCGACAACATTTTCGACTCGCTTGCCGAAGGTCAGCTCCTCTCGGTCATCATGTTCGCCTTGCCGCTCGGCTATGCGATCGCCAAGTCGCACAACGGTGCGCCGGCCGACAACAGTCTCCTCAACATCATCCGCCAGACGCGCAATTCCATCTTGATTTTGATCAACGCCGTCTTGAACATCACGCCGATCGCGGTCGGGTTCCTCATTTGCAATGCCGTCATTTCGTACCAAGCGAGCGCCAACGACGTCTTCTCGCAGGCCGGCTACATCGTGCTCATGTTCCTCGCCGGTGTCTTCAGCCACGTCATGGTTGTCATGCCGCTTGTGCTCTTCATCTTTACGCGCTGCAACCCGTACAACTACATGCGCCAGCTCTTCCCCGCCTACGTCTTTGCCTTTGGCTGCTCGTCGTCGATGGCCGCGCTGCCCGTCGGTGTCACGGTCATCCACCAGACGCGCCAAGTGTCGCGGTCGCTCGCGCAGCTCATCATGTGTCTTGGCACGCCGGTCAACCTCAACACGTGCGGCCTCTACTACCCGCTCATGACCATGTTTATGGCCAACTACGCCGGCCTCACAGACGACATTGGTGCGCCGCAAATGGCCGTCCTCTTCTTTGTGAGTCTCCTCGGCTGCATGGGTACGGCGCCGATCCCGCAGGCCGGTCTGGCCATGTTGATGACTGTTTGGCGCACGGTGCTGCCGAATGAAACGATCCCCCACGCGTTCGTGTACGTGGTCGCCATTGACTTTATCATTGATCGCATCAACACGGTGGTCAACATCAACGGCAACATGATCGTCACGCGTATTCTCGCCGACCAGTTTGACGAGACGGTCGAGACGTGGGCCCACGACCAAATGCTGTAAATGCATGACCCACGCCTCCTGTACATTATAGAGCGTATCGCCTTGAAAGCACACTTGCTATCTAGACCTAACCCCACCATATAAACACGTTTTTGATTGAAATGCGAGGCTTGTCGACACAGTCACACAGTCACGGTCGTAGCGTCGACGGCACTGCCGTGGCAGAGACATGGGTCATTGGCGGCTTGCGCTCGATGGACCTGCCTTAGACGCCTCGTCCGGTGCAACAAGTTCTCGTGGGTCTCAACCAAGACAACGTGTCCAGCCTGCTCATAATCTGGTGTCCGGGACCCGTATGCAAAATGGACATGGCTTCACGAGACGGCGAGATTCAAACTGAAATTGTTTTGGTCGTGGTTGGTGCGCGTGGTTGGGGCGGCAGAAGTGGTAGGCTCAAGAAAAGCTCAAGTAGGTGGCGGCTTCGTATCCCCGGTAGAAGTTGGCGACGTTTCGATGATGATGGTGATGGTTCGTCGGCCTAACGGACTCATAAAAGAGAGATATGTGTGCCATAAACGAATTTAACGAAGTTACTTACGCTCGGCTCCGAGTTCTGTGGCGCTTACAGTGGCATGATAGTGGCAACGGTAAGCGACTCTACCACATACGGCCATTGTGTAACCAGTACATGTATGTGTATTTCTGAGCACGACTCGTCTCCCGGCGTGATCTCCCGGATTGAGGAGTCGAGGTGCTTGCACGCGCTTTGCCTTAGCCACCATTATCTGTGGTGAAGCCAACGCCTCGATTCGCAAGTGCTGGGATTTTGAAGCAGAAAGTTTGTGCTCTAGAATGTGCGGCTGGTATGCGTCCGAGGAACTAGTACGGTAAAGGCTTGTGGGCTGCGTGGCAATCCGCAGACGAACGTACCACGCTGCATGTCCCAGACACCCAGAACGAAGCGGACGAAAATCACAGCATTCGTGCTCTCTCTACTGGGCCGACACCGCTGCGGCTACACTGTCTATACCCTTGTGAGAGCTCTTGCGAGCTATGTAGGGGATGCTGCATGCATCGAGTGCTGACCACCAGCGTTGCGTCCTCCTTCATTATTCAAATATGGCGCAATACCCAAGCAGATTGGATATGCGCACCCAGGTACATGGTCATTAGCGATGGGTACATGAAGCTTCGACATCTTCTTCGCGGACACGGCACCTTTTACGCACCGGTACTACTGCGCCGGTCGGCGTGCCCCGTGGCGCGCCACGCGAAAAGTCGGCGTCCGAAAGCTTCTATTGATCCAACAAGGGTTTCAGTGGCGCCGCTTCCAGATTATCGAACAAAAGCTTGTCGCAAGGGAATGAATCGGAAAACAAATCGTCAGATTCCAGCTGGTCGCGCCAGATCTATTGCCCTTGGTTGCAGCGTCACCAGCTGCCCAAACACTCGACCCGATTGCTCCAACCGCGTCGTTCAACCCTTCTACAAGTGGCACGGTAAGCGCAACCGGCTCACACTCGTCAACCTTCCGTCTTTTGCGCACCTTCTTCTTCAACTTTCACAAGAACGATGGACCAGCAGCCGAAAGGTATCCTCCTCTTCACCAACGACCAGCTGGGGTCTCGGGCGCCGTCGTACCACTCGGCGCCCTCGTCCGACGGTCAGCGCGCCCGCCGCATTGCACCGCCCGCCGAGCCGCTCGGTGTCCGCACCAACTTCACCTCTGGCAAGGCGCTCACCGACTCGATCCCAATGACGTCGTACGAAAACTACGACGACCCAATCATGGAAGAAGACAAAAACCTCCACGCAGCCGGTGACTTTGACGCGCGCTCAACGAGCACGTACGTCAACTCGATCTACGTGCTCATCGGTGCGGCGATTGGCGCCGGTATTGGCCTCGCGCTCACCAAGGCCGACATCTCGAGGGACGTCCAGCAGTGGATTCAGATGCCCGGTGACCTCTTTGTGCGCGCGCTTCGCTGTCTTGTGGTGCCCATGGTGTTTGCGTCCATGTCGGTCGTCATTGCCGAAGTCGTCGTCTTGAAGAAGACGTCGATTCTGTCGTGGCGCACGGGCGCCATCTTCTTCCTCACGTCGTTCATCGCTACCGTGCAAGGCCTCCTCCTCTCGACCGTCTATCGCGGTATCTTTGAGGGTGGCAAGAACGCGACAACGTCGGCGCTGCCGGCGCCTGTGCTCGCATTCCGCTGCGCCAACGGTCTCTTCCTCAACCAGCAGACCAACGGCAGTCTCCTCTGCGACAAAATGACCAACGACACGGCCTCGACGCTGTTTACGACCGTCGATATCAACAACATGCTGACGGTCAAGAGCACGATCACGCAGCTCTCGCTCACACAGCAGATCATTTCGATCATCGAACTGACCGTGCCCGACAACATCTTCAACGCGCTCACGCAGGGCTCGCTCCTCTCGGTCATCATGTTCGCCTTGCCGCTCGGGTATGCGATCGCCAAGTCGCACAACGGCCCCGCGACCGAGAACGGTCTCCTCAACGTCTTTCGCCAAACGCGCAACTCGCTACTGATCTTGATCAACGCCGTCTTGATGCTGACGCCGATTGCCGTCGGGTTCCTCATCTGTAGCGCCATCATTTCGTACCAAGCGAATGCGTCGGCCATCTTTTCGCAAGCCGGGTACCTCATTTTGATGTTCCTCGCCGGTGTCTTCTGCCACGTCATGCTCGTCATGCCGCTCATTCTCTTTCTCTTCACGCGCTGCAACCCGTACAACTACATGCGACAGCTCTTCCCCGCCTACGTCTTTGCCTTTGGCTGCTCGTCGTCCATGGCGACGCTGCCTGTGGCCGTCACGGTCATCCACCAGACGCGCCAAGTGTCGCGGTCGCTCGCGCAGCTCATCATGTGCCTTGGCACGCCGGTCAACCTCAACACGTGCGGCCTCTACTACCCGCTCATGACCATGTTCATGGCCAACTACTCTGGCCTCACGAGCGAGCTCGGTGCACCGCAAATGGCCGTCCTCTTCTTTGTGAGTCTCCTCGGCTGCATGGGTACGGCGCCGATCCCGCAGGCCGGTCTGGCCATGTTGATGACTGTTTGGCGCACGACGCTGCCCAACCAAGAGCTGCCGCACGCGTTCGTGTACGTGGTTGCCATTGACTTTCTCATCGATCGCATCAACACGATGGTCAACATCAACGGTAATATGATCATCACGCGCATTCTCGCCGACCAGTTTGACGAGACGGTCGAGACGTGGGCCACCGATAACATGAATTAATTGGACGTCGAGAACCATATAATATAGGACCATTTATTGAAAATAATCAAATATCACTCTGTACAACAAGTACGCTGTGCAGCCATCGAGAGCATTTTTCACCATGACGGCTCGTCGCCAACCGCCAGACAACACGACGAGGTGCGGCGCAGACTCGACAACAGTATACAGTGTTGGTCAAAATAAAGGCGCACCCCTTTACAAAATATTTCCGGAAAAAGTCATCAGATTTTCCGTACGATTTAACTCTTTATATGTAATACCTCTGAAGGAGCATAAACCGGTCATCTGGCGCACCCGATAAGATGATGGGGTGAGCGCCAAGGATGCCATGGCCCCGGTTCGAAGCCCGTTATTGTCACACTTTTGAAGCGCCACTGCTGCTAACTTTTTTATGTGCTGTTGTCCAGGAAGCAGAGAGAAGAGAGAAGAGAAATTTTAGCATTGTGTCTATGTTGGCCTAGACAACATGCTTGGGGATAGCCTTCGCAAAGGCAGACTTTATGGCATCCTCGCTAATGTCGTCCCACGCGGCAATAGCGCGCTTGATGACGGCCATGCGCTTTTCCGCGGGAGTCGTGTACTTCTTGGTGTCGCGCAACCACAAAGCACGCAACTTGGCCTTGAATGGACCCATGACCCCGACATCCAATGGCTGGCAGGTAGAAGTCGTGTTCGGAGGCAGAGGGTACAGGTCAGACTTGAGCTTAAATCTTGGTAGGGGCGTGTCGTAGAAGATCCCCGTTTCGTCGCAGTTGAGCACGAGGCTTGGGTCCTTGTCCGCGTATTTGCCCCAGAAATCCTGCGAGAGCTCTGCCTTCTTCTTTGCCATCTCTTCTTCGGACATCTTGGCCGTCGTGATCGACTTACGCACGAAGCAGTGGCGAGTGGCAAAGCGAGAGCACAAACGTGTCAAGTTCGCGATCGTCTTGTCCTTGTACTCGTTCTCGTACTTGTCAAGCCACGCCGTCTGGTGCTCCTTTATGTACTCGACCATGATGGCAACCGCCAAGCAGCGGCGGGAGCGACGGAGGTCTTTCATGTACGTCAGGAGCTCCTATGGTGCGAAAGGTGATTGACACACTGGAGGTGCACTGAGAACTAATCTGTATTACGTTGGCAAATGGAATGATCTCCTTGCGCCCACCACCGGAGCTACGCTTGCGCTTGTACGAGAGCTTGCCGTGCGCTGCAGCGAGCATGGCCCGCCCCTTGGGTGTTATCATGTTGTATAACGCCTTGCGTGAGAGTCGGGTCCGGCGACAGTACTCAGCCTGTGAAAGGCGGGACGCATCGAACATCTTGAGATGCGCGCGCTTCTGCCCGATCGTGAGCGTGGTTCGGTTGGGTTTGACTACGTTGTCTATAAATAGAGGATGAATCGTGGCCTGAAGAGGCACCGATACGTTACCAGGTGGGCGTTCGGCGGCGAGAACGGTTTCGATCTGAGACGTCGCCAACGCTTCGTCGTTCGATGTGATCTCATCGACAGTCTCGCAATGATCGTCGTCGTCCGTACTGTTGTCAACGATGAGCAGGTCGTGGTCACTCATCTCCCTGGACCACATTCGCTCGAGGCGGTCCACGAGCTCATCCATCGTTGCTATCTTGAGTGGCTCGCCAATGGCCGAATCGACACCATTCGATTGATGACCTCCGCATCCAAATACCTCTTACTTATTATACCGGGACACGATTATTTAATATTGAAGGTCGCAGCATTTTTTTCGAAATGGGGTGCGCCTTTATTTTGACCAACACTGTATCAATCAATCTATCTATCTATCTATCTATCTATCTATCTATCTATCTATCTATCTATCTATCTATCTATCTATCTATCTATCTATCTATCTATCTATCTATCTATCTATCTATCTATCTATCTATCTACATCAATCGATCTTTGCCCTTTGCCTGTTGCGCCGTCCCACGAGCCCGACGTTGGGGTACACCGTGGGCACACTCGCGGCAAGGATATATCGCGAGGCGGCTGACCTTTGAGGTCGATGTAAAATTGATGTTGTTGTGTAAGTGAGTCTATTTAGATATAATTTACACTGAACTGTCTATGGTGGTGGACTAGCGATTCCAAGGTGCTACGACGAGCCGGCCGCCGAGATGCTTAGCCGAGCGGGAGACGGGGCGTGTAAACGGCACATGCCGGAACAAGGTTGTCGCGTAGCCATGCGTCGTGACGCAGGGCTGCCATCATTTGGAAGAGGCACAATGCTTGAGTGTTCAGCAGCAAGTGTTGGAGGTGCAGCTTGGTCAAGAACGAGGCTCGTTGGGCGGCTGCCGCAGGCGTCACAAGGGGCGCCTCGGAGCGAAATACTTGGTCGTTGCGGGCAAGCCAGACGGTGTGGAGCACGCATGCACAACCCACTCCGCTTCGTAAAAAAGGCCACCGTGTAAACTCGACTTTGTACATACTATACAAACTTCAACATCACACAGTTGTTAGTTGTTGAAGTGCATCTAGTGAGATTTCGTTTTGATAGAATGGTGCCTTATTGAGTGGACATTTGGCTCCGGGCGTGATGCAACTGGACGGTGGCAAGGCGGCTTGACCGTCCCAGAGGCGAGGGATGCAGGCCGGCACGTTGTGGTCGCGGGGTCATTCAGCACTCGGCGTCGGCAACACTCACAGTGTTGCTGCAGCTGCGCCGATTGCGCAAGCTCACGTTTTCATTTTGGTTGCAGGCTGCAACAAAAATGAGACAGAGAGTGCTGCAAGTTGCAGCACTCTCTGTCGTCGCGATGCGTTTGTGCTCTAGATGTCGCTACAGTCCTTTGAGTCCACACCTGGGAGAGGTACCTACTACGAGCGCATGGCGCGTGTCGACTCACCGCGTACAGAAACTGTCCTCGATACCGGTGGTATTACACGCGTTGGTGTGTTCAAGTGAGTTTCGTTGGATAGTATAATGTGCACGAAACGGTTGGTATTACACGCGTTGTGGACGGTCGTGTCCGTCTCCGATGATAGCTCGTCCACACTCTGTGCGAACCGACGGCCATGCGTTGACGCGCAGTAACTTCTTGCTAAGAGGACATCGAGGGAGATCACTTCCGTGGACTGGTCAAGGGCCATTTGCCTTCCCGTCGCTTTTTTACTTTCGATAAAAAGCTGGAATACCCTGTGAGAGACCTCCCAATGACAATGCAGCACTTTTATGGTTGACACCAGAGATCCTGTTGCTCTGAGTACGGACGATTCCAAGAAGTGAAGGGAGTTTTTTGAGCAGAACGACGAGCCAGCGAAAAGACCGTCCAAGGAATCGAAGAATAGAAGACAAAAGATCGGACGATATTCGAAAATTGGATTTTCGATAAAAAGCGATCCCGACCGCGCCACGCCCGGGGCTGACCGGGCTACCCTTATTTGCCCCAACGTGCGTCGAGTGTGCTCGGACTTCGAGAAATGAAACAATACCGACGCGACTATTCGTAGTAGGTAGGTAGGTATCCATGGTACTAGGTATCCTGGTACATGAGCCTTCCCCTGATCGACAAACTGGCTTTACTCGTATTACTCTCCCGAAGAAAACATGAGCAGCACTGTAGCGTGGATAGCAGAGACGCGACGCGCGACGGAGGGTTCATCAGCAAAAGCAATATCTTGAATTGATAGAGCGATCCCAGCGTCGTCCATCGCGCATCAACCATAGCCAGAACCAAAATGTAGCGTAAAACGAGAGAATGAGAAGCGTCTACGAACGATGATTCCACCACTACCGGTGCAGCGCGGATGCTAATACTAATAGCATGCGTTCTCTCTTGCGAGCACCAATGAACTCGACAGCAAACGTACAGTGCACACTTGTCGGCTTCGCAAAAGTGTGTTGATGGTCCCGTGATCCAAATGTGACGGGCCCTATCAGTGCCAGCCATTCCAGCTCGTGGGAGAGGGGCAATCGGGCGACGACTTGCAACCAGACTGACTCGCAACCGCCTGGCACCAAGCACTGAACACAGTGCACCGGATTACTACAGACTCATCGCAGACGAAGATACACATAATGCGCTTGTTTCAAGGCTGCAAAAAGCAGCTTGTGGTCCCATTGGTGGGACGTGACACACATGCTAAGGCAGAACCGTACTCCGAAGCGTGTCGCGATCGCTGCACAACCAACTTTGTGGCAAGTCACCATTTCTCAATTGCCTCGCCATGGCCTACTACTCGGAAACCTTCGCACACATCGACCCGATCCCGTTCGCCGGCGTCTCCTCGTCGTATGCCCTCGACGACGTCGACGTCTTCCATCTCCTCTCGGACGAGCACCCGCTCCTCAAGCTGGAAGAGCTCGCAGGACCCATCTTTTATGACGACTCGCTGCTTGGACCGCTCGCGTATGCGCCACCGCCGCCGCCAACGAACTGGGCACTCACCTTTGAGGCCCCCGGGCCGTCCAAAGCACCGTCCATGGCGTACCGAAAGCCGTGTTCGGTCGACGGCTGCCACCGCGTTGTGCGGTCGCGTGGCTTTTGCAAGCGCCATGGCGGCGGTCGCCAGTGCGTCATTGAGACGTGCTCGAAAGAAGCTCAGAACGGCGACTACTGCGTCGGCCACGGTGGCGGCAAGTCGTGCAAGGTTGATGCTTGTACCAATGCCGCGCAGTCCCAGGGCCTCTGCAAGGCGCACGGCGGCGGCGCCCGTTGCAAGTTCAACGGCTGCGACAAGTGTAGCCAAGGCGGTGGCTACTGCCGTTCCCACGGCGGCGGCAAGCGCTGCCTCGAGCCTGGCTGCACCAAGGGCGCCCAGCGCGGCAACAAGTGCGCGAAACACGGCGGCTGCCGGACGTGCACGGTCGACGACTGCGTGCGCACGGACCGCGGTGGCGGTCTCTGCGAGATCCACCGCAAGGACAAGATGTGTACCGTCAGTGGTTGCAAGCGCCTCGGCAAGACCATGGGCATGTGTACGCCGCATGTTCGCGAGCTCCGGAGCTCTGGCTCGCCATAGATTCATCCAGAGCTAGAGCTATTTATTGTAACATTCGCACAGTGTATTCTATCTTCATTGCTCAATCTCTTCCCCTCTGAGTCTACGTCGATCTCATGGAGCAACCACCCTGCCAACACGGCCTCGGGTGTTTGTGTCTCGAGCGTGTCCGTCCAACGCCTTCATCATTCGAAGCGCCTGGTTAGGAAGCACCGAAATTTACTGCTTGTCCCTTCTCCAGGGATTGCGTGCACTGTGTTACAAAGGAAGCGTTCAGAACTCGTGGTTGAAGTCAGCAGCGAAACGTCGTGCTCGCTCCGCGTGCCACGTCATTTGCCACGTCATACGCCCAGTGCTTTGTCTCGCTCCTACCCTATCAACACCGATATGCAGCCGCCAACTTGTTTTCTTGTGTGCTATATTGAACAGAAGGGCAAGTGGTGTCCCAGACGACGAGGATATCGACAACATAAACCGCCTGCAGTCACTGGCCTGCAGTGGCGATACCAAAGTACCCTGGCTCTTTTGCGGCTGCAACGCATGAGAGAGGTAAAGCAACGACACCTCTTAACTGCGGGTCGTTTCGACGTTGAGAGCGCGCGCGCCTCGCTCGTCACAGTCGCCACTCGTGAAGCAACGGCGGGTTACGTCGGCAGCTAAATATTGGCGCGTGAAAATTTCATAAGTCGGCGCCCACTCCACGTGGTTAGCATCGAACCTTGGCATTGTCAGATCGTCCACATGTCTTTGCGCGCTTCGAATGATGAGAGAACACTTCAATGAACATGCTTCCGCCCATTTGGTGCTTACGTGTGCTGGAGGTTTATAATCCCACGTCCCAAAACGCTATCCGCGAAATAAAACTAGACAATATTTCGGTGCTCGAGCCATATAGGTGTCGGCTCCTGCGATTCAAAGTGGAGAGCTGCCTCCTCTCTTGCAGAGGGACCAGTGGCAACCACAGATTCGGCCGTGAAATCGCTGGCGCAGTTCCGTTATAGAGCATAGTTATGGCCTCAAAAACCCGCGCGCTTGAATGCCACTTGTTCAGCGTGTCATGATGTCGCCTGCGACTTCCCAGCGGATGCGACGACCGTCATGTCCACATTGGTGCAGCAAAAACCGATGGATGTGGCGATCGAAATGAAGAAGATTCTTTTTGTCGATGGCTTAGTATGCCACCAAAAGTTCCGAAAGGCAGCTGATTCGAGTAAAGAAATCGGAAAATGCGGGCAAGACGTCGTCGCACGCCCAGCGTGTAAAAGTGCGCAGAGAGATCCCACGGCGCGAACTGACGACTGGAACAGACAGAGCGCGTGCTCCACACCGTCTGGCTCGCTCGCAACGACCCAGCGACGCGCCCGCCCTTCGCGCTATTTCCTTTTTCAAGCTGCACCTTCATCATTTGCTGCTGAATGCCGAAGCGATTTGTCTTCCACATGATGAACGCCCGGCACCACGACTTTGCGACCACCACATCCCGGTGCAGCCTTCAGTCGCGCCACGCGTTGAGTCGAGAGGTCACCTCTAGAAACAGTTGAGTGTAATTCATAGCCAAACAAACTCACTTCAGCACCGAAGATTAGAACAGACGTGTTGCGGACTCATCATGTTCCACACTTCTCTTGGACTGGAATCGACACGATATTGTCCGCGTACCTAGCTACACATTCTGTTCTATACAGTATAGCAGCCGAACAAGAGTCACTTGAAGTCGGTCAGCATCAATGACAACATGGCTACATGTCTATACAGGCTATGTGTCGGTCGCGTGTCGCCCGTGCAAGTGCTGCTTCGTCCGCTCCGACTTGGGCATGGGGTAGAGCTTTGGCTTTTTGACGCGAACTTTGATAGGCGTGAAACCTCGCATTATGGATACGCCAGATATATCATGTATGAAAGGTGTCGGCCATCAGCTGGCGTAATCTTTACCGTCAGTGGCAGTCGAGGCGACCTCGTCGAGCAGCCAAGTAGCAGCG